CTGAGGCTTCTTAGTTTTGAGTGCTCGGTCTCACTTAGGCTCATTTCTGGCTAGCTCTTTTAACGTAAAAGTTTCTCTTTATCTACCTTTCGCCTCGGGGTTTATTGCCTTTCTTACTTCTGTATATCTTACTTTCTTTGCTAATCTACTTCTGGCTGGCGTCTCCCTGGCTTCTTGCCCCAGGCGTGTACCTGGTCTGGCTGGCTGGTGTGTGACTGGCTTCTTGCCGCAGCAAATCCCTCGTTCTCTCCCCCTCCTTCTTGTTCTCTTCTCTCAAGCCTAGATTTCTCCTCCCCTGCCTGCCAACCCCACCTATCCTTTTCTCTGCCTAGCTATTGACCGTTCAGCTCCTTATTAGACCAAGCAGGCAGGCAAGGTGAAACAAACACAACCTTTTTTCACAATTAAACAAATGCAGCATAAACAAAAGTAACACACTTTTACACAATGAAAGTCATATTCTGCAGTATAAATAAATGTAACACATTTTTACTAGTTAAATAATATTTTACAACACCCGTGTAAGGGGTTTCAAACCAGCAGACCACAACCTTGAAATCAAAGGATAATATAATGTTGCATTTTAGGCCCTCTGGTTAAGAGAGAGAGAGAGAGAGAGAGAGAGAGAGAGAGAGAGAGAGAGAGAGGTGAGTTTGAAGCCATCCTGGTCTACATAGAGAGTTCCAGGACAGCCAGGGCTACATAGTGAGAGCTGTCTCAAAAAACAAAACAAGAGGGGCTGGAGAGATGGCTCAGAGGTTAAGAGCATTGCCTGCTCTTCCAAAGGTCCTGAGTTCAATTCCCAGCAACCACATGGTGGCTCACAACCATCTGTAATGAGGTCTGGTGCCCTCTTCTGGCCTGCAGGCATACACTGCAGACAGAATATTGTTTACATAATAAATAAATATTAAAAAAAAAACAAGAGCTAGATGAGATGGCTGGTGACAGAAAATGAGGTTAGCAATCCTAGCATTCCGGTGACAGAGCAGAATATTGTTTACATAATAAATAAATATTTAAAAACAAAACAAGAGCTAGATGAGATGGCTGGTGACAGAAAATGAGGTTAGCAATCCTAGCATTCCGGTGACAGAGCCCGAGGTTGTTGAGTCTGAGGTCAGTCTGGGCTGAGATCCTGTCTCATAGACAAAAAAGATTCTCACTAAAGTTGGAAGTCTTGACCTCCTTACACAGCTCGTTAGGTCTAAACTCTCTTCCCGCCTCAGCCTCCAAAATCCCAGGATTAGAGGGATGTGCCACCATACCTGGCTCTGATAGACAGCTTTGCCATGGAAACTTTTAGTTAATTTGACTCAAACTTGGGAAACATTAACAAATGAAAGATGTCTTCATTTTTGTTTTGTTTTGTTTTGATTCAGTAAGGTGGCACACATCTCTAATCTGTGTTCCCAGGAGGCAGAGGTGGGCAAATTTCTGATTTCTAGGGCCAGTCGGAGCTGTATGTTAAGATCCTGCCTAAAAAAACAAAACAAAAAAACCAAGATGTGTTCTCTTCTAGATGGAGAGAAGATTCAGTGGTTAAAAGTATTTGCTGCTTCTTTTGATTTTTAAGATTTTTATTTATTATATATACAGTGTTCTCTCTGCATATATACTTGCATGCCATAAGAGGGCAGCAGATCTCATTACAGATGGTTGTGAGCCACCACGTGGTTGTTGGGAATTGAACTCAGAATCTCTGGAAAAGCAGTCAGTGCTCTTAACTGCTGAGCCAGCTCTCCAGCCCTCTTTGTTGTTGCTGTTGTTGTTTTGTTTGTTTTTGTTTTCAAGACAGGGTGTCTCTCTGTGGCTTTAGAGCCTGTCCTGGCACTTGCTCTGTAGACCAGACTGGCAACGAACTCACAGAGATCTGCCTGCCTCTGTCTCCCAAGTGCTAGGATTAAAGGTATGCGGTACCACCACCCGGTGCACTGGCTGCTCTCACAGAGAACCTGGGTTTAATTCTCTCAGCACCCACATGGCAACTCACAACTGCATCTCCAGTTGCAGGGCATCCAATGCCTCTAGCCTAAGGGTTCCTACATGCACATGATGTATATACACACACTCAGGCACGCATGCATGTGCACGTGCACACACATATTTAAATTAAAACTTTTTAAATGTGTATTTTCTGAAATATAAGACTGCATATTTCATGGGCCATGCTGATCTCAAACTCAATATAAGGCCAAGAATAACTTTGAACACCTGTTCCTCCTGCCTGTACCTCCTCAATGCTGAGATTATGGGCAAATATAATCACACCTACTTTATTTGGTGCTAAGGTTTGGATCTACAGATTTGTGTGAGAGGCAAGCACTCTAGGACTCATGCCCAGCCCAAAGGCAATGTAGAAGCACTACAATGTAGAGTCAGAGTCCCAAGTACCTCAGGCTTGACCACAACTCCTTCAGTATTGAAGGTGGTCATCAACAACCCTAAGCAAGCTTTCTTACTGAGGTACACTCCACCTCTTTGTTTTTAATTGTTGCTAAGTAACATCTACCATAAAGATAATTTTCTTTTTGGTTTTCCAAGACAGCGTTTCTCTGTAGCTTTGGAACATGTCCTGGAACTAGCTCTTGTACACCAGGCTGACCTCGAACTCACAGAGATCTGCCTGCCTCTGTCTCCCTAGTGCTGGGATTAAAGGCATGCGCCACCACCACCCGGCCCATAAACATAATTTTCATTTAGTTCAGCAGTTCTCAAGTAAAGATCCTATGTCCCAGCAGACTTTGTCATTGTCTAGAGACATGCCTGGTTGTCCTAATAGGGAAGAGTATGCTTTTGGCTTGGGATCTAGGCAGAAACTAAGAATATTCAATATATTCTACAGTGAGAAGGTAGACCCTCCTTACTAACACTCAAAATACCTCTAACAACGGCACAGACTAGAAAACTTGGTATTCTGAGAACCATGGTGTTGCTGCTGGCTGTGAGCAAGGGGCTCCACTGGGACTGAAAAGGTAAGCTGGTGTGCACATGTCCAGGGTCCTGCCCTACCACTGCAAAGCAGAGGGGAGGGGCTTCTCCAAACTACTTGGCCAGGAATAGTAGTGCATGGCCACAGTCCCAGGACTTGCAGGGGAGCACACAGACAGAATGATCACAAGTTCAAGACCAGCCTGGGCTATGTAAGCAGGGCTACATGGTAAAACCCTGTTTCAAAACAACAAAAACTGTATGGTGACTCATGCGTGTAATCCCAGCCACTTGAGAGGCTAAGACAGAAGATCACAAGTTTAAGGGCAGCCTAGGCAACTAATTTAGATTCTGCCCTAAAAAGGAAGAGGACCAGGGATGCAGCTTGGCACAAAAAATGCGTTACCAGCATGTGCGAGGTCCTAGGTTCAATGCCCAGTACCACAAAAATAAAAAATCAAATACACACATTGGATATTTTAATGAAAGCAATGGTCCTGCCATTTTTATTTTTCATAATAATAGTTTTCAAAAGAAAAAGAATTATACATTTTAAATTCTGATCAAAGTTCTTTCTACATTTGAACAAGAATGAATCTCTTAGTACTTAAAAATACCTTCAATGTGTGAGCATACAAATTACCATATGATAAACATTCAAAAAGTAGAGTAAGCTCACTTTGAAATGCAACACACGTAATATCCAGTAACAGTATGGAACCAACATCAGCACAGTCCGGGGGTCTTAGGAGCGCTAACTCTTTACCACTGGTCCACAGCCATTTCATGTTCCACCCCCAGTTTAGGAGAATTTAGCTTTAGCACGCCACTGGAATACTTTTCCCTTTGATATAGTTGTATTATAAGGCAGTATTTACAAAAAAAGCACATGAAAGATTTGTATTGGCAATCAACACAGCTTTGGATGCTGGTTTTGGCTTTCTAAAGCGACGAATCACAAACGCCTTTTTATAAAAAGGTATACGCACAGTGAAAGGATATCTACCTGCATTGTCACTCTCAAACTGCAGCAATTCAGAACCCAAAAGCATTCAGGCGGCCAGCACTAACTTATCCTGTAGGTGACAAAATTAAAAAGCAAACCTCAGGTACAATTCTGAGTCTGTCAGAATTGTTAGCATGCATGTACTTAAAACACAGTGCTTTGGTTTTAGAGACAGAGACACATGCGACCCCAGGCTGGCCTAAACTTCTTGTATAGCTGAGGCTGGCCCCAAGCTTCTGATCTTTCTTTTTCTTTTTTTTTTTTAATATTTATTTATTATGTATACAATATTCTGTCTGCTTGTATGCCTGCAGGCCAGAAGAGGGCACCAGACATCATTACAGATGGTTGTGAGCCACCATGAGGTTGCTAGGAATTGAACTCAGGACCTTTGGAAGAGCAGGCAATGAATGCTCTTAACCACTGAACCATCTCTCCAGTCCCCTCTGATCTTTCTTTCTGCATTTACCTCCCAAGTGCTGGGATTACAGACTTTAGTCACCATGTTCAACTTAGAATTCAGTTGTTGGGTTTCTTACTTCATTATTTTAAAATGTTGTGTGTGTGTGTGTGTGTGTGTGTGTGTGTGTGTGTGTGTGCACGCCCACGCGTGCGCAAATGCTCATGCACCTGTGCATGCTCACTCGCTCTCAAGTACTAGGAGAAGTCAGAGGAGCTGCTGCAGTGAGCTGTCCTGCATGGGTGCTGGACCTCGGACCTCATGACAGAACAGCAAGCACCCTTCAGCCAGACCCCTCCCCCCAGTATGTGCATGGTGCACGTGCAGAGGTGAAGACAACTCTCCAGAGTCAGTTCTTCCACCACGAGCTGTCGGGGAAACTTGGATGCCAGACTTGCGCAGAGAGCCTTTACCTGCTGAGCCATCTTGGTTATCCAGAATAGGTGGGTTTTTACAGATGTAATGACTTTATGATTCTAAACTGACATAGAAGGATTATGTTACACTGGCCAGACACACACCAGTTCTTGGATATAATCCAAGACCAAAAATAGAGAAATGAACGAACCAAAGGGATGTCCTGAAGTCTTTTTCCTCCCTGCCTTTATATCTCCCAAGTGACCTTGTCCTGGGCGGAAAAACAGTAGCAATATCAAAGTAGTTATGGAGAATTCATTAGAGAAATTTTAGAAACCAGTGGCCCACATCTAAATCCCAGCACTAGGAGGCAGAAGCAGGAAGATCAACTAATGTTCAAGGCCAGTTTGCCCTACCCAGTGAGTTCAAGATCAGCCAGGTATACATATGGAGAAGCTGTCTCACAAAGGAGGGGAAGAAATCACAGCACCTGATTGTGACAATGTTGTTGTGCACGAATGACGCTTATAAATCATTACAACTTAAGCTGTACTATGTTTGTGTGTGTGTGTGTGTGTGTGTGTGTGTGTGTGTGTGTGTGTTACCCATCATGCCAGCACTTTCTGGGAGCTAGTTCTCTTTTATGTGGGTCACAGGGATCAAAACTCAGATTGCTAGGCTTGGTAGCAAGTGCCTTTGCCTACTGAGCCATCTCACCAGCCCTTTAAAGATGCTACTTTTAAGTCAAATAGCATTTCACCCTCAGGAGTTGATGGTTAGTCTTTGTTACCTTTTTTTCTTCATTTCAAAATGGAAATTCTTTTCAGTGTCCTGAACGTGTCATTAAAGAATCAAATGTGAAAACTCAGTAATAATAAATATACACTATTGGCCGAACTGGGGGATAAAAGGGAGAGAGCACAGCATAACAAAAGAATGTTGGCACAATAAACTACTTTTGAAAATGGGGAATAACTGCCAGGCACGGTAACACACACCTGTATCCTCACACACAGGAGGCTGAAGCAAGAGGGTCTCAAGTTAGCAACCACCCTGGACTACCATGACCACCATGCTTGACTATGAAGTGTTCTCTCTTTAAACAAACACATAGCTGTTGCCCAGCTCGCTCCTTCAAACAATGGCCACCCCAACAGCAGTAATTATCCATAGAGACTTTCTCTGGAATGAGAAAGGGGGTGAGTTGAGATAGGGCCTTGTGTAGCATAGGCTGTCCTTGACCACGCCATGTAGCTGAGGAAGATCTTCAACAGATCCTCCTTAGAGGCATGGGCTACTATCCCTAGCTTCAGATTGTGGTTTGAAATACCATTCTGCACAGAAAGCAACCAGGCTTCTAAGAGAGTTGATGATTTCAGACCCATAGTAGCAAACACAGGTTCAGCAGGAAAGATCTTGCTGTAGCAGACAGCAGGGAAAGGAATAAAGTGTTCAAAGGACTCAGCCAACCTTCGAGGAGCAGCCAAAGAAAAGAGAAGTTGAACCTCAGTAAAGTGACATTGGTAATGGAAGGAAGTTCACTGATAGATGTCTAGATACATGAGTTCATAATGCTTTATTTCTTTGGTTTTGAGACTGGGTCTCACACTATAGCCCAAGCAGGCCTGCAACTTGTAGCCCAGATTGGTTTTGAACTTGAAACAATCCTGCTCTGTCTCTCAGCAATATGCATGTCACCATCCATGAGCAATAATGCTTCTTATAACAATACATTCAGCTATACATTTTGTATCTGGTTTTTAGTATGTGTGCTTTATTTTATACCTTTTAAGATGTTAAAATTAAAAACAAAGCCTGGGAATTCCATGCAAAATTACCAATGTGAAAACTTCAACCACGGATATCAACAGATAGGTCTTAAGAAATCACCTATATTATAAAATACTTCTAAATAGTAAGCTAAAAATATTTGAAAAATATTCTATCAAATTTTTATATATGCATGTATAGTATGTCAATAGTTAAGTTCACATAAATTTTTTCTTTTTTCAGTTTTTTAATGTTTTTTATGGTCTCATTGCACTTCTGATTCTTCCTCCTCCCAAACACTAGGACTGCAGGCATGCATCACCATGCCCAGGTAACTATACATTCCAAACACAAAATCTGTTATAGTATTATGTACTATAATTTGGTTAAAATGGATTTTGTTGACTTCAAATTCTTTCCCTTCCTCCTCCTTTTAATGTGGACATAAGATTGTCCACATTCCTTTATTAGAGATTAGAGCATGAGGATTTCAATACATTTCAGGTTTCCTTTAATGTCCACATTTTGTTCCTTTCTCTGTCTTCTTGTGTCGAACAGAAATCGGTCATCTTGCCTAACCATGATGACAGTCAGGAACAGTGGCATTCTGCACAGCATCACCAATGTGCACACGGAGCTCCTGCACACATACTCAGCCTGTGTCTCTCCCATTTGCCAATAGCTTGTGGAGCCGATTGCCTGTGGTTAAATGTCTAAGAAACTCAAGATTGTAAAGGCAGATCTAGACCAGAATGAAAGCGGTTTTTGAATGCAATATAACAAAGACAAGAGTGTAACACTGTAGTACATTTCTCTCCATGAAACACTGACAGTCTCCCCAGTCCTTCAAGCAGCATCTTAAATGGTACAAGGGAACGGTCCTTCACTAGTTATAAACTTATGTGGTGTTTGAGTGATTCACATATTCAAGAAGTGAGCGGTCTAACACTCTTCGGATAAGGGCTTCCTCGATTATATCAAAATCCTACAATAGAGAAGAATGGTTAGAAACAGCCAGTAGTGTTCAGAAATGGGATGGGGTGGAACAATGGTCAACGCAATGCTCATTTTTCAGGAATAAATTCCTGGAGTTACATGGCCTGTCCATCATTCCAGGGAGCCTGTCCTGAGGTTACTGTTTCCTGTTCGACTTCAGGGGCCTTTCAGGAATTGCCATCAAGTCTTTATTAATAGAGAATCTAGAGAATTGTGCTGGAGAAATGGCTCAGTGTTAAGAACACAGACTGCTTTTCCAGAGGGCCTGAGCTCATTTCCTAGCACTCACTGTGATGGCTAAAGAAACTCCATTTTGTGCTAGACATCCACCTTGGTACCTAACGGCTGTTGGTCTCTGACTCAAGCTCCTGGAAGGTAAGTTCCCAGCAACCCTGACTCCCTGACCCCCACTCAGGAATGCACAGCTGTGACCATCTGCTCATTATGATATAACTAACTGCTGATTTTGGCTTCTGTAACTTGCTTGTGCAGACATTCAAGGACTATTTTGAGGTCGCCTCGACCATCTAATCTTGGCATGGTAGAACAGTTCTTGTGGATAAAAGACTTTAAGAGCCCTTCCTTTGCCTGCTTCTATAAGGCACATCTCTGATGTCCCTGCTAGCAGCCTTAATAAATTTGCTTAATTATACTCTGAATGGTCTCTGGGATCTTTTCCTGGTGATCTCAAACTCTACAACACCACATCAGGTGGCTCACAACTACTAGGGAATCTGAGGTCCACTTCTGACCTCAATGGACAAACACCTCCTTTTCCGCAACAATACACATAGGCATAAAAGTAAAAAGTCAACTAAAACCTGAAGATTTAGAAATGTAAGAGAAAGAAAGCCTTGTCAGGCCAGGATGTTCTCTATATTTCATATACACTTGGAATAAAGTTTACACATTCCTGATAGCGGGGGGGGGGCCAGCCATAGTTGAATGGCTGTATTTTCCTAGAATGGGGAAGGCCCCAGGGTCAATCTCTAACACTGGGGGGGAAACAAGACCACTCCTAGGACTGAGAATGCTAACAGTTCTATTAATTATTGATTTATGGACAGGAAAATGTAACAAAATGCTCTTCCTGCTTCTTTATTTGTCACGGTGAAATTTAAGCTTCACATCAGTACTTCTATGAGTAAAAACAAAAGCTGCAAGATCCCCACCCCTTTCCAGTCCCTTTGCTTTTACAACCAAAGGTGAAACTGCTACTTTAAGTCCATTTTATCATTTTAGTGTTTTCATTCAGACAGTGTCTTACTATGTGATCCTGGCTGACCTGGAACTTACTGTGTAGAACAGGCTGGCCTTGAACTCACAGAGCTCCACCTGCCTCTGCCTCCTCAGTGCTGGGGTCAAAGGTGTGCACTTCCACAGATGGTTAGAGAAGACTACGTTAACATTAGTAGTGAGTGCTATAAAGCACTCTACTGTTCCAGTGTCCCCCTTGCTAATGCTAATACTGCACACTTTACCAACATGCTCAACTTTTCTTGTATAATTTTATTCACTGGTATTTTAAAAAGTAAGATTAATACAGACAGCAGAAAAACATAATGTAAAAGGTAGAATTATACTTACTATGAAATCATCATAAAACAAAGTGTGGCTGACTTGCAGATGTCTAATTAAACTGCCGTTGAAGGTACTTGGGCTCTCATTAGGTAGCAAATGGCAAAGCGGGCAGAACTAGAGGGAAAGACCAATCAACAGTTCAAGAAAGAATTTCAAATAACTATTAATACCAGAATTTTTAAAAGGAACTCGCCATTGAATGTGAATTTTAACTAGGAATCCATTGAACATACCTCAACACTGTGCTTTGTTTTAGTTTCATGTGTGTGTGATATAGCTATGTGTTCCTGTGTTTGCATGTATATGTACATAGTCATCTTTGTACGTGTTCATGTGACAGTCATAGGTCAATGTCAGGTATTTTCCTCAATTGTTCTCAACCCTGTGTTTTTATTTTTATTTTTCATTTCCACTTTATGTATTTAAGTTGCCATACAGTTTTTAAGGTTTTAAAAAATGATTTATTGACTTTACATGTATGAGTGTTTGCTAGCATATGATATGTGCATCACATCCATGCCTGGTGCCCATAGACTTCAGAAGAGAGCATCATATATCCTGGAACTGAAGTTATAGATTGCTGTAGGCCACCACATAGGTGCTGAGACCTGAACCCAGGTCCTCTGCAAGAGAAGCAAGTATTCTTAAACACTGAGCAATCTCTTCAGCCCCCTCCGACTTTCTTTCTTGAGACAGAGCTTCTCATTGAACCTGGAGGTAAGCAATTAAGCTAGGCTAGCTGGCTGGCCGGCAAGCTCCAGGCCTCCACCTCTGCACTCCTAGTCCTGGGATTCCAGGAGGGCACCACAGCATCACACTTGGGCTTCGGGGGAGTGCTGGGGATCAAAACTTGGGTCTTCCTGCTTGGGTGAAGCACTTCACTGACTGAGCCACCTCTTCAGAACTGCTTTGTTTTGTTTCTCATGCAGTTCAGGCTTTGATTCCACTGTGGCCAAGGCTGGTCTGAAACAACCTGTCTACTGACACACTTGGCTTCACATCTCAATATTAAAAAAATTATACGTATAGCCAGGAAGATCTCTGTGATCTTCCTGTGATCTTCAAAGCCAGTCAGGTTCACAAACAAATTTCTGGGTCAGGTCAGATGGGGCTGCATAGTGAGATTCTATGCATTTATCTTTTCAACTGAATATCTTCTTTTTAAGAAATAAAAAAAAAATGACAGAGTTTCACTGCTGTAGACCTGCCTAGCCTAGAACTAACTGTGTAGGCCAGGTTTGTCTTGAATTCACGAAGGTCTGCCTGCTTCTGCCTTCCAAAAGTGTGTATCATCATGCCAGCAACACAGTATTAAACGGTTTCTCAGGACTGGTAAAGTGTTCTGTGGTAAAGGCACTTGACACCAGTCATACCAAAAATTCTCTCCCAAAAGACTTCCCAAGTTCTCTCATCTCTACATGTGTGAACACACAGAAAAATAAAAGTAGTAACTTTAAAAGTTAGAAAGTAAGTAAGTGCTGATATGGAACTCACCGTGTAGCCCAGGTTGGTCTCAAACCTCCAGCATTCATCCTTCCTTACCTCCCCAGCGCTGAGATTACAGACATGAGCCACGATGCCCAGACTCTACCACATTTAAATTTAGACAGTACATACAGACAGAAAGGCAGACAGACAGGTATAGGTAAAAGTCATTACCACAGGCCTCCTCTCTGATCTGTGGTAGGTAATGCAATGATCCAGCAAGCAGTCTTCTTCCAGTTCCTTCTGACAAAATGGACAGATACATCTGGAAGTAGCACAGAATTACAATCACTAAAATCGTGGTCAGCGAGAGAATAGTCACTTAATTAGAAACTTAGAAAAAAGCAGACTATACTGCCTATAGCTAGGTTAGTATCCTTTTTTTGTTTTGTTTTGTGTGAGGGAGCAGGGTCTCATTATGTTGCCCAGGCCTACCTTGGTCCTTCTACTTCCAGCCCCTAAGTGCTGGGATTGCGGGTATGCACCATCACACCTGGTTTGCTTTTCCGGTTTGTTTGTTTTGAGACAAGTGTCTTGCTATGTAGCTCAGGCTTTTCTCAAGCTTATAGCAATTCATCTGCCTCAGCTTCCTAAAATGTTGTGGTTATAGGCATTTGCCACCATAATGGGCTGGGTTTTTGTTTGTTTTACTGCATGGTTCAAGCTGTCCTCAAAGTTGCTATGTAGCATAGACTAGCCCTGCACTGGTGATCCTCCTGCCTTGGTCTCCTGAGTACTAGAATTATAGTTCGTGCTGCCAAGTTTAGCTGCAGGAGTCTTTGCTATAACTTTAACCAGTAAAAGAAATATAAGGTTAAGTTAGTTTCTATATATTTTAAATTTTCCATAAACTCCATCAATTTGCAGTCAGAGTCATATTTTCTCAAGCTATAGTTTAGTCCTTTTTCCTCTCTTCCGGTCAATTTAGCAGAATCAGGACTCTGCTTACATTAAAAATAGTCATTCTCAATTTATGGCATCATTTATAAAACAAATCTTGCAATAATAGGTACATTAGCAAGGCAATTTCAAGTAAAATTAAAAAGACCAGAGTAAGCCGTAGACTTCTAGGTCGGGATGCGTAAGTCCGCGGCTGGAGCCGGCTCGGAGGTGAAAAGCACGTGCTGCACTTGTGAGGACGCAGGCCCAGTCTCAGCATCCGCATGGGGTGGGTCCCAACTCTGCATAACTCCCGTGCGGATCCAACACAACTTCCCACCTCCAGAGGGCCCTGCGTCCACTTGGTGCAGACATACACTCAGGCACCATACATACACACAAATACTAAGAAAATAAAGATGGATTTGGGTACTGAAATCACCCACTATTAAAAAAAAGGGCTGTTGGGGCTGGAGAGATAGCTCAGCAGTTAAGAGCACTGGCTATTCTTACAGAGGACCTGGCTTTGAATTCTAATACCCGCATGGTGGTTTTCTGACACCTTCTTCTGACCTATGTGGCCACTGCATACACATGGTGCACAGACAATGCAAGACACATAAAATAAAAATTTAAAAAGTCTTTTTTTAAAAAAGAGAAATTCAAATTGAATTTCCAATGCAATTTCGTGTGTAGCCTAGGATGGCCTCAGACTCATAAGAATCCTCCTGTCTCTGCTTCCCAAGTGTTAAGCTTAAATTCTTCAGAGACATACTGAATTTAACACGACACTACACTGTATTCAAGCAAACCTTGTTGTTGTCTCGCCAAGTTCTTGCAGTGGTCCATATTTGTCAATGTACTTCTCACAAGTCCTTATGTGCGTCCTCATGTCACTGAGGCAAACCTACAAAAAGGCAAATTCAAGATCACACTCCTGTTGGAGAGGGCCTTTATGTGACCTAGCTCCATAACTTTCAAATCGGGGCAGTAATTAATTGGATTTATTCATGAATAGTCACAAAAGTACAGGCATTATCAAGAATAATACTGAGTCAGATGAGAACGCCTTTTAATCCCAGCACTCAAGAGGCAGAGGCAGGCAGATCTCTGTGTTCAAGGCCTGTGGACAGTCAGGGATACACAGAGAAACCCCGTATCTAAAAACCAAAAAGTAAAAGTAGTAGCAATAATAATAATAATAATAATAATAATAATAATAATAAATATGCTGTGTTTAAAATCTCCTAACACAATGCTAAGCTTTTAAATTTGTTCCTTTTAAAAAAGCATGCTGTTTTCTTTTTCTTTTTTCGGTTTTTCGAGACAGGGTTTCTCTGTAGCTTTGGAGCCTGTCCTGGAACTCACTCTGTAGACCAGGCTGGCCTCGAATTCACAGAGATCTGCCTGCCTCTGCCTCCCGAGTGCTAAGATTAAAGATGTGTGCCACCACCGCCCGGTACATGCTGTTTTTTTAAAAAGCAAAAGGATGCATAGTAACAAAGAATTTTTTGCATGCTGTCTTATAAAAGCATAAAAGAAAATAGATGAAGAGAAAGAGTGAGAATAAGAGAAGAAGAAAAACATTGACAAGGGATGAAAAGAAATGGAGATGGAGACCATCAAATGCACACATTTTGCAAGAGTCCATCACGAAGTAAAGGAAACCTCTCACACCTGAAGTGAAGTCATAAATGCATCAATTCATGACATGGCCAACAGTGTTGTGTGAATTCAGAATGCACAGTATACTTAATGGTGCCATCAGGACCAAGGAACCACAGCTCTTGTAGCCTGCCTTGATCAGTGCAGATCAACACTCAGGGGCTATGCTGTACAGTAACACTGCACTCAGTTTCAGTAGAAACACTGATAAGATCTCCTGGTGGAGGAGGCATCTTACAGCTGTAGCTAGGTGGCAGCCCACAGCCAGCCTCCTTCTGCCCAAACTTCCTTTGAAAGTTCAGCTTCAGAAACTTTACAACGTGACGGAAATAGCCACAGTCACTTAACAAAAGGCAGAAGTAAAGCAAGCTAGTGAGAACATGAAAACAGTGACAAAGTACCCATCAAAAACATAAAAAGAAGACTGATGAAGGTAGCGATCTTCAAAAGATATTAAGATATAAAGGATTAAAGGTGTAAGCCCAGCAGTGGCGCATGCCTCTAATCCCAGCACTTGGGAGGCAAAGGTGAGTAGATCTTTCAGAGTTCCAGACCAGCCAGGGCTATACAGTGAGACCCTATCTGAGAGGTGGGTGGGGAAGGGGAGGAGGAGGAGGAAAAGAAGGAGGGAGGAGATGTTTATAACCGGTAGCATCTTCTTTGGGGGTTGCTGAGATAGCTCACTGAGTAAATGTACCTACTAAGCCGGACAACTGATTCTAGGCCCCCACAAGGGAGGAGAGAACCAATTCCTACAGACTGTATTCTGGTTTCCACATGCAAGCTGTGGCCCATGGGTGCCTGTTGGTGTGCATATGAGCTCTCGCTCTCCTCTTAACCAAAATAAAAGTTCAAGAATTCTATTTACATAGCTTCTCTTTATTTAGTTTAATCGTGTACAAGTATGTCTACACTTCTAAGTCAGGCATTATGGCACACATTTTTAATCCCAACACTTGAGAGGAAGAAGCAGGTGACCTCTGCCAACCTGATTCACACTGTGAGTCCCAGGCCATACAGGCATGCTGGGTGAGACCGGTCTCCAAAGAAACATAAAAACGAGAGAAGAAAGGAAGGAAGAATGGAAGAAAGAGAAAGGATGGGAGGAAAAGGAAGGAAAAATCAGTGTGACAGTGGGAGTGGTGGTACACACATAATTCTCAGGGTTGGAAGGAGGAGGATTTGAAGCAGGAGGATCACAAGTTTCAGGCTAGGCCAGGCTAAGACTCTGTTTCACAAAAAAATTCAGATTCTTTGTTCAAGAAAGACAAGCTTTCCTTAGAAAAATCATCAACCTGGGGATCGCACACTGAAAAATAAAAAGATTGTTAAATTTATAATCCAGACATACACACAAAATTATGTAAGATACCATCGAAGAGACGGTAGACAACGAGCCTCTCCCATTTCTAATGTTGCAGATAATCAAATAGAGGAAAAATATGTGCAGACGACTACCTCAGAAGTTGTTTCGAGAGGAACTAAAAATACGAAGGCCAGGCTGCATGGAGAGGGGAGCGGGCCTCATAATGAAGCATGCAAAGCTGAAACCTGAAAAAAAAAACTGGCAGTACTCCTGGACAGAAGAACAGTCTAGAAAGCAAGAGAGGGGCACAGAGTTCCTAAAACATTAACCAAAATCCTGTGACTGATGGATACCAGAGATGAGAATCAGGTGAGGGTCCCACCCAGGACCTCAGAGAATGCTGTTGTTCTGGATAGAAAATCAAAGTAAGGTTGTCTATGTGTGCCCCCAACCCCTGCACACATAAAATAATAGATTAATAAGAACAAACAAATAATTTGTATAAAACCAAAAACAGAGAATTAGTGTTGGATCTCAGGATGCTTATCTCCAAAGGATATGTGTAAATTCTGGTCAGATGGTCATGATAGATTATTGAGCCTTATACTTAAAAATGTCTTTATTTTTTCCTTTTATTTTTGTTTTTTTGTTTCTCGAGGCAGGGTTTCTCTGTGTAACTGCTGTGGCTGTCCTGGAACTTGCTCTGTAGACCAGGCTGGCCTCGAACTCACGGAGATCCACCTGCCTCTGCTTCCGAAGAGCTGGGCTTAAAGGTGTGTGCCACCACGCCCATCTTATAAATGTCTTTTAATGCACCAAGGCCTTAGAGGATAGGTGTTGGGTCCTATGTTAGAGGAGGTGCCAAGGCCTTAGAGGATAGGTGTTGGGAACTATGTTAGAGGAGGTGCCGAGCTCCGCTTGTGTTCTTGCTCAAGGGCCCTGGCAGTGGCTGACACATGGAGTGTGACCATGCAGCTCTCCAGGTAACAGGAAAGATGGTAACAGGAAGGGAGCCTAACAGGAGACAAGGGCCCTGGGAAAGGGGTGCAGGGAACGAAATCAAATCAGTCACTCTCAGGAGCTAGGAAACTGAAAGGCCATTTCGCATCTTCCTGCTCCCTCAGTCAGAAGTAATTTCCTAAGGGGCAGAGGAAGGAGGATGAAGTTCAGTTGGTTTCCAGGATCTCAGGCAAGGGGTGAGAATAACTACTGAGGATTGGATTTTTTTTAAATTTATTTATTATGTATAGTATTCTGCCTGCATACATGCCTACACGCCGAAAGAGGGCACCAGATTTCATTACAGGTGGTTGTGAGTCTCCATGTGGGTGTTGGAGTTGAACTCAGGACCTCTGGACAAGCAGCCAGTGCTCTTAACCTCTGAGCCATCTCTCCAGCCTCTTTTCTCTTTTTTTCCAGACAGGGTTTCTTTATGTAGCCTTGGGTGTCCTGGAACTTGCTCTGTAGACCAGGCTGGCCTCTGCCTCCTGAGTGTGCCACTACATCCTGGCGAGAACTGACGTTGTGTTTTGGGTATTTGTTGTTCTGGCATGTGCATTGTGACGATGTCCTGGCTGGATTAGAACTACTGCCTTGAACATGCAGCAGATCCTCTTGTTCCAGCCTCCTGTGTGCTGAGATTAAAGGCAAGAATTTTTCATATGTTTCTTTAAATTCCATCCAGGTTAAAATTTTTTTATTTTCCAGCTCTGGATGGTGGTAAGAAAACAGATGAATGAAGCAAAAGTTCTAACTTTCAAAAAGAATGTTTGCCAGCTGGTGGTGGTGCATGCTTTTAGTCTCAGCACTCGGGAGGCAGAGGCAGGCAGATCTCTGTGGGCTTGGGACCAGCCTGATCTACAGAGCTAGTTCCAAGACAGCCAAGACTACACTGAGAAACCTTGTCTTGAAACCCCCCCTCCTAAATAAGTGTTTACAAGGTTGGTGGGGCGAGCCTGTAATGCAAGCTACTATAGGGCTACAGAGTAAGTTCACAGCTGGCATAGGCAACTTAATGACTCTGTCTCTATATCAAAAGTAAAAATGAGGGCTGGGGATATGGTTCAGGGGTTAACAGTCACCTAGCATGCAGGAAGCCTTGGGTTCAATCTCTCTGTGCTATATATACACCAAAACTAGAGGAGCTGATGTGGTGGGCATGAATGTTATTCTGACACTTCCACAGCAGAGGCAGGAGGATGGCAAGTTTAAGTTCACCATGGGTTACAGAATGAGATCCTGTTCCCACAGTGGGGGAGCTGGGGAGATGGAGCAGTGGAATGAAAACGTCACCGGAAAACTTTGTAATCATGAGCGAGGGCTGTGCTACTCACCAGAGTCCCGCACTCAGTACAGTTCTGGTATTCTGACTTCATTCTCTTGGCTATGTCAGTGGCTGGCACTCCCTCCGAAGGAAGGTATGCTCGGCAGTATGGACAGGTCCATTTATTATTTTTTATACTGGTCGCAATACACGATCGGCAGAACCTACTCAAAACAGAGGATGCATCAGGACACACGGCTTAGCACTTGAGTTCACACTGCTTGTCCAGAGGACCTGAGCTCCATTCCCAGCACCCAAGTCTTCTGCCTCCCAGGACACCTGCACTCATATGAGCACATACCCATTACACACACACACACACACACACACACACACACACACGATTGAAAATAAAATAGCTAGGCTTGGTAGTCCATGATTTTAATGCTAGCACTCAGGAAGCAGAGGCAAACTGTTCTGCGAGTTCAAGGTCAGCCTGGTTTACATAGCAGGTTCCAGGCCAGCCAGAGTCATACAGTGAGACCCTGTCTCAATTAAGAAGGTGAGAGTACCTGGGCTTGTAAAGGCCACTCAGCTGCCCCCAACTGAAAAGACCAGAACCCAAGTTCTGCCTACGGACACCCAAAACAGTCAGTCCAGCTGGACCTATCAATCACCTCAGACAGGCTGACTTTCTCAAATCTTGATAAAAAGACAGGAGGAGTAACTACCCCCTTAATGAGATACATACTTTTCCTTCTCAGAAACCCCACCCCGGAAGTAGTCTTTTACGGGAGTCTCAACTTTTCTGATTACCCAGAAAAATGTTAATTTTTTTTCTCTTTCTACCTCCCTCCCTCTCTCCCTAACTCTGGGCATACCCTCATTGATTCATACTCCGGCTTTCTCAGTCTCTGCTCCTGCTGTGTGGCTGCTTGTTGAACATGCTGGACCCTAACTCAAAAGGCATGACTTTCTCCCCACATCTAAATCCTTTTATGAATGAGACGAAGAATCCGAAGAGGGAACCTCAGTTTTCCCACTAACATCTCTACCTCCTATAATCTACCTGGGGTTACAGGAATACATCACTAGGCCTGACTGAATGTAATTCTTGTTTGGTTTGTCTGTTTTTGAGAAAGGTCTCACTGTATAGTCTTGGTTGTTCTGGAATGCACTATGTAGATGAGGCCGGCTCACAGATTCTGCCTCCTAAGTGCTAGGAATAAGAGTATAGGCCACCATGCACAGCCTTCAAAGTATATTCTTTTAAGAGTATTCATTACAAATGCTTCAAAGGTATTTGTTTGGAGGGAAAGAGAAAGGGGGGCAGAAGTAAATGGGGACCAGCCTAAACTCAAGAGGAAGATCACACAAGTTCAAGGCCAGCCTAGGTGCAGATCCAGAGAACCATTAAAACATATATTATTTTTAGTTGAACATTTAAACCTTTTGCAATATGTACTTCAGGAATACACTTTCAGCCCTGGGGACCTCTCACAAAACATAAAACCAGGGCTAAAGCTGAGAGTCATAGAAAGATATTTAGAATTAAGCAGGGGGCTTAACACTTCATAGGCTATTCTAGGCTCTACAAAAGAAGCGCCACCTCACCTCATATGCTTTTAAGTTTATAATAAATTTATTCACGACACATTGGTGCCTTAAGCTGGGTGTGGAAAAACAAACTTGCAAACCTTACATTTGGGAAGTATAAGGAGCATCAGAAGACTAATGTGACTCTAAACAAGTTCAAGACCAGCTTGAGCCACCTGAGATCTTGTCTCTAAAAACCAGGACCAGGTTAGGACGATGGCTCAGTGGGTAGAGTGCTTGCCTAGCACGTATGCAGCCCCAGGACCCATACCCACCACAATGAGACATGGTTGAACATACCAGTAATCGCAGAAATCCAGAGGTGGAGGGAGGAGCTGTTCAGAGTCGTCTTAGCTACATTAGTGAGTTTGACATAGGAGACCCTGACTCAAAAGCCAGGACATACTTGTGCCTTACAGGAGCAAATGGTAGTTGACGGTGGCAAAGGGACAAGGCAGGCAAAATAAAAGTCATGCCCCTTGTGCAAGTGATCCCAAAGTTGATGGCAGAAGCAGATGAGGCTGATGGGGCTAGCCACAGAGGCAGAGAGTACCACAAAGGACAGGAAGGGATTTCTCAGCTTAAGGAACTAATTGTTCAGATCTCCGAGTGCTCTTGTTACAGGCCGTGAACAATTACTGCAATTCATCAACCACACACGCTGCATGAGTCACACTCTATCACCTCAGTAAAGCTGGGGAGCAAAACAAAAACGCTTCTGTGATGCCAGGGCAGTTACAGTAACACTGTGAGAAAGATCACAGGACCACTTCCAACACAGCCTCCCTCCTACACTACGCAGGACACAGCTGCTCAGAACACGGTCCGAAAGTTGACATAACAATCAGGAGGAATTGCCCAATAGAGTCTTTTCTGGGAATTCCCAAAGTTCCCGGGAGTAAGTCATACTGTGGTGCCCTGTAGCTCAGCTGACGGAGTGCCTGTGCACAGAGCCCCAGGTGTCGCAGTGCAGGTCTATAATCCCAGCATTTGGAAGGTGAGGGCAGGAGGCCCATAGTTCAAGATCAACCCCAATGACATAAAGAGTTGACCAGCCTGAACCCTATGTGAGATCTTGTCTCAAAGAGTGTGATTCTTTCTGCCCTGAAGAGTCCAAGGGGGAGGAATGGACACTAAGGAAAGCAGGCATTTGCTCATCTGGCCAGTCCCATCAGGAGGCTGTGCAGTGAGGAATCACAAAGGGAGGACCATCACAAAGAGAATATGCAGTTGGAAGATAAAAGTTGAACATGGATGAAAATCTCACTCCACTCCAGCATGGTGGAACACTCCTTGAATCCCAGTACCCAGGAGCAGAGGCTGGAGGATCTCTGTGAGTTCAGGACCATCCTTGTCTACAGGCCAGCCATGAAGACTACGTTGTGAGACCTTATGTCTCAAGTAGCAACAGAAAAATCCAATCTGGCTCCTTGATTTCAAAAACTCTGAATGTGGTGAGTGAAATACCCAGTCTATCACCAGTGGTCCTCCAACTGCCACGTGCAAACTCGGCACACGCACCCTTCCAAATACACCCCACTAAGATAAACAAATGTAATTTTTAAATGAGACAATAACAAAAGGAAATCTGAATGAATTATCAGGGCTTGGAAATCAGATTTAGCAGGAGTCCAGTCTCCTGGCTCAGCGGTGTGGCTTCCTTACTAGTCCCCATCTCCCAGAAGTGCTGACTGAGCCCTCCCTGAGATGGCACTCCCCTCGCTTCCCCTGTAGCACAGCAGGAGCAAAGCAATAAGGAAACTCCATAACAACTCAACCAACTCTGAAACCAGCTGGAAACTGAATTACATCACTTCTGTTTGTTACTTTACAAACCCCATTCTATTTCTCTAAATTAAGTAATTAGCCAAATCCCCTGTGATAAACAGGCCAGCAGAGTGCTGGAAGGAACCAGGAAAACACAGCTAAGGACAATAGAGAGACGTATGTCCCAATCTCAGGGCAAAACTAAACTCTAAATGAATTGAAACAGGAAAGAGAAGCCCTGGGGACTCTCTGGGGGACAGGGCAGGGTTCTGGAAGAGGCTACTGGCAGCATGTGGCAGGCCTAACCTTTTAAGTGAGATCCAACTTCACCACATTACAAAGTTGAGTTCAAACCTTGAGATGGCTAATTTAATAGCTCATACCTGGAATCCCACCAGTTGGAGGCTGAAGCAGGAGGATTGCTTTAAGTTGAAGGCTGGTCGAGGCTATATAGTGTGTTCTATGTTCTAGGTCAGCCTGGGTTACAGTAAGAACCTGTCTAAACAGTATTTAAAAAAACAAAAACAAAAACAAAAGGCAAGCTGGCAAAGTAAGCATGAAAATGGAAATAGAATAATAGAATTAGAGCCATTATCTAAAGACAACAGTCACAGGCTAATATTCCACTATAGGGCAACACACACACACACTTTTCCTTCAACAACAGATCACACCATACAGCTCAGACTCAAGTACAGCTCCAGAGTACAGTGTGTGTATATAGTGCTTGCCTAGTAGGAGCGAGAAACAGAGTTCAGTTCCCAGCACTGCAAAACAAAACAAAACAAAAACCAACAACAATCCAACTTGTCTAATATGAGACAGACACACACACACAAAGTTGGGTAACTTATGATATGGAAGGACATCAAATGGTACAAACTATGTTTTATTTTGGAGTCACTTATACTCGTTAACCCAACCAATATCCAACATTTAACTGCCAGACCTTCATGGAGTGGTGACTGTTGTAGGAGAGCACTCACTTGTTCCCAGCTGCTCAGCCCCGAAATAATCACACAGAAACTGTATTATTTAAATCACTGCTTGGCCCACAGATCACCTCGAGGCTGTGGGTTACCAGCAAAGTTTCAGTGACTGTCTGCTGCGGGGCTTCATGGCTTCTCCTGACTCCGCTTCCTTTCTCTCAGCATTCAGTTTAGTTTTCCCTGCCTACCTCTATTTCCTGCACAGACCCAAGATGGTTTCTTTATTCACCAATGGTGTTCACAGCACACAGAGGGGAATCCCACATCAGAGGACATTGTGATTTTAAGAGGAGTGTTCATTTACTGGAACAATGGCACTTAAGAATTTCCAGATTGTTGTGGCACAAAAGGCTTCACACATCACATCCTAACACACTCAACAGGTACATTGGGTTGTTCTTCTGGGATGTGGAGGTTCGTGTCTAATCAAGTTTATCTTAAAATCATTATATACAAATCATAGATCATTGGAGCCAGGGTGTGGCTCAGTTGGTAGAGTGCTTGCCTAGCATCCACAAAGTCCTGGGTTCAATCCCCAATACCATCTCACAAACCCAAGTACATATGTCCCCATCTGAGTCTTATGACCTGAACTTGTTTTGTTCAGATGAAGTCTGAAAGTCTATGTGAGGCAAGTGAGGATTTCCAGGAAATTAGAGACTTTCTACCATACACTAATGTTAAAAATGACAATGGTTTGGTCAAGAAAACCAATCTAAGTAAAAAGCCTACCTGGACCCTCATTCACTTAACTGTAACCAAAGTAACTTCCTTACTCTTCTTCTTTCCCTCAGGAACAAAGCGTTGTTTATTAATGCTCATGTTACATCTATAGGAGGAGCTGAGCATGCTGGCCCACTCCAGCAATCCCA